AACGGCTCCAATGGAGAAATACGCACAAGTATACTTGGATGAAATTGTTGCAAGACATGGTGTGCCACTAAAGATCATTTCCGATCGCGATACTCGCTTCACTTCTCACTTTTGGGCGAGTATGCAACGCGAATTGGGATCTCGAGTTGCTCTCAGCACCGCTTATCATCCCCAGACAGATGGTCAGACGGATAGAACAATCCAAACAGTAGAAGATATGCTTCGTGCATGCATCTTGGAGTTCGGTGGTAACTGGGATAAATACTTACCGCTTGTCGAATTTTCGTATAATAACAGTTACCACACTTCAATCAAAACGCCACCATATGAAGCATTATATGGTCGCAAATGTCGTGCATCGTTATGTTGGCGTGATGTAGGACAGAAGATCCTTGGAGGTCCTGAAAGGATTCAAGACGCCATCGACAAGATTCAAATCGTACGAGAAAGAATGAAAGCGGCCCAGGATTGAAAAAAGTCCTATACAGAAAAGAGAAGACGACCTATAGAATTCCAAGTGGTTGATTTCATGATGTTGAAGGTATCCCCATGGAAAGGCCTTATGCGATTTGGGAAGAAAGGAAAGTTAAGTCCTAGATTTGTTGGTCCTTTCAAAATCATCCAGAGAATTGGAAAGAAAGCATAGCGCTTAGAATTTCCTAAAGATTTGGTAGGTATTCATAATGTGTTTCATGTAATTTATCTGCGCAAATGCTTGAGCATCTACGATGAGACAGTTCCATTATCCGAGGTGAAATTAGATAATAAGTTAAGATATGTTGAAGAGTCTGAAGAAATCGTGAATGAAAGAACAACTAAGCTAAGCAATAAAGAAGTAGAATTGGTGCTTGTCAAGTGGAAACACCATCGTGACCCAAACTATACTTGGGAGAATAATAATGAGATAAAAGCAAAATATCCCCATTTATTTTAATCGATGTAATTTCGGGGACGAAATCCTCAAAAGGAGGAGGTATTTGTAACATACACGTTTTGAAATCGTGTTTTGTAATGAATAAAATTGTGAAATACTATGTGAAATTGAGTGTTGAGTTCTAACAAATGGTTTTTACTAGAAATGAAGTAAAACTATGTTTAGAATCACTCAGAAAATATTGGAAGTCTTATGAGATTCCAATTAAAGCCAAATAGTGAAATTTAGTGAAAATATAAAATTTTAAATAAGTAAAATTTTATTATTTGATGTTGTAGAGAATCTCTTTAGAAACTTGTAGGCGAAAACCTCGTCGAAATCCAAGTTATAACGAAGAAGTTATGACCAACCGAAGATCCGCGACAAAACCGGCACGACACCGAATGACGTAAAAAGTGAGTTTTTGATAAACTAATTTTTAGCCTTAGTAATCTAAATAAAAGCCGTAGTATTCGTTAAACCGAGAAATTCGATAAAAAGAACGCCAAAATCTGACTTCGTATGAGGAAGTTATGATTTTTCGAAGTTTCAACTTAGCAGTAGACAGCTAAAAACTCGAATTTTAGATCAAGTGATATTTGACCGATACATCCTAAACGAGAATCGAAGGTCTCGTCATTTGTAGTACAACGGTAAAAAGTCTGACGAAAACGGATGTCGGGTGAAGAAGTTATGAATTTTTAACGGATTTTCCTGTCCCGGTCTGTTAAAAATAATAATATCAAAATTAAATTCAAAATTAGCCGACGAAGTCTAAACGAAAGTTGTAGAGCGTAATTTTAGCTACGCGTGAATACAAAGAAAGTCAAAAACGGAGCTCCTATGCCAAAGTTATGGATTTTAGAAGTTTGGGGCACATTTTCCGAGAAATTCACATGAACAGTACCAGCCACCGGAGACCTACATCGCAGCCACATCACTTTCGCACGAAGCAGCAACGTCACCGGATACGTGGCCAAATCTGAAGTCAGCAAGTGTCGCATGTTGATTTGCCGAGACCAAGGTCCAGCAGGAAGGAGACACGTCTCACATCGGTGGCCAGTCTGACGCGAGACACGTCTCGCCTACCCGCCTCACATCCGAGCCACCAAGCTGCTTCGTCATCACAATGTGTCCAAGCCTCGCACCGCCTCTCGCTTCGTGGCCTTCGCTCCAGCAGCCACGTGCTCGCTTCTCAGCCCTCGGATCCAAGCCTCTCACCCTATAAATAGAGGACCTGCAAACCCTCCCAGCTAAAATTGGAATTTTGCCATTTTTCACCCCTAAATCCATATTTTCACTATTTTGACTTTTCCCGAAGCCCCAGTATCAATTTTAGTACCCGAAACACGTCCCGGGACCCCCGAGAAGCCAAAAAAATTTATCTTTTCGGTTTTGAAGCCCTACCTTTGTAGAGCCCGGTTTTCAATCAAGCTCCCGATTTTCAACATAGAAAGACATATTTAAAGCCGAAGTGCTGTCCAAATTACTATTTTAACCCCTGGTTAACTTAAGGTGAGTTCAATATATAGGAACAATTGTATGTTATGTGTTATATGTGCTATGTGCTTTTCAGTGTTATTATTCTGAGTTATTTTCCCGTGTGATTTTATTCGTTATGTTTATAGCAATTGTAATACCTTTGACCATGTGATCAGTGAAAAGCCTTAGATTCACATTGGTACTGGTACGTAGCCTCTAGCCATGTAGAACATGTATCCGTAAGAGAATGACTTCTATTCTATGGTATTGGCAAATGGTTAGACAGGACTATAAGCCTGAAATCTAACAAGATGTTAATCAGAAATTGCATGTCTTCTATGCCATTTGGGCCAAAGCTTTATTGAGGTATATCAAGAATTGAAAAGTATATCTTTGAATAAAGTCTTTGATTGATATGAACGCTTGTCACATGATCTCACATACATCTTCTTGTTCCTATTTGCTTTTGCCACATTGAAGTGTGTGTATATATATATATATATATATATATATATATATAATATATATATATATATATATATATATGCATAACGTTATATTGTATCTATTATTGAACTCAGTAGGCGTCACCGCTTACCCTATTAATGTTTAACAATTGCAGGTGATAAGTAAATAGTATGTTCACATACTGTTGAAATATTTAGAATAGTTTGTAATAGTTCTTTTGTACTACAGTTTATGTTTGTATAAATTACAATATCCTGGGTAATTATGTAATATATATAACACTTTGTAATAGACGGATTGTATCCAATAGTTTGTAATTCCCTTTTGTCAATGTAAAATATTGCTTTTTTGAATATGCAAATAGCATGTTTTGGAGTAATGATATTGTGAAGTATGAAAGTTTGGATCTTTCAAAAATACAAAAGTTGGGGTCTTTCACTATAATTTAAAATTCTCAATTATAAAATATATTGAATATTAGAAGAGAAAAGAAACACCTAAAAGTTTAAACGAAATTATAAACTACAAAATTACAAAATTAATATTTGTTTGACAAAGTCTTTGTCTGCTCTAAAACCACAACCAATGTTAGAGTGATTATTTTTTTTTTTTATTTGTTTTAAACCCTAAAAAAACATTACAAAACAAAAAAAAATTAAAAAATAAAAAGACTAGAAGTAGGAAGCTCAATAAGGCTAAGGCATTATGAAGAATTCAATGTTCAATTGTCCTCCACTTAAATACTTAAATACAACAATTGTTTATTCTCATCATTTTTTATTGGGCAAAACACATAGCAAACAAATCAACCATTTGATGATTTTACGTTTAACTATTTCAGAAACATTACATGTAAACATGAATTCCACTATAAGTGGACAATGGACTCCAATTGAAATCGATCGACTTCAGAAACATTACATGTAAACATGAATTCCACTATAAGTGGACAATGGACTCCAATTGAAATCGATCGACTGGTGTGTGGTGTCTAATGGAATAGATTATTTTATATACTTAAATCAAATATCTAAGTATCATAGATGAGACAATTTCAAAGACTATGCAATTATATGATGATGTGATGAGAACTGGGAAACTAACAAAAGCTAGAAAGATAGAGAAGTTAAAAGAATGATTGCGATAAATGAAAAATAAATTGATTAAGAATTCCCCTTTTTGTGCTTACCAAACGTGTCTTGTCCATTCTCCAAATCATCTCCAATTTTTGACCTTATTTCTCTTATTGGTTATATAATTTTTTCTTATAGAATTTGAGCAATATAAGAAAAACATTATAATTTATGGAACATGGGCCCATAAAAGAGTTGTAAAAGTTTATTGGGTTGAATATAGAGGGTTACGACGATTGTCTCTTCTGTGTTTTATAGAGAGTTGCAAAATGAAAGCAACAAGATTCGAACATGGGTGAATTTCATATGCCAAAAACACGCGACAAACACTTCAGCCAACTAAGCTAAGATTGAGGTACTGTTTGTTTTTCTATAAAAACCTCTTCAAACCACTTATTGCTACGCGGCGCAGCACACGCGCATCACTTTCCCTCTCGCAGCAATTTGTTTTCTAGAAGACTTCAGACTACAAAACCTCTGCGCGTGTGCTGCGTGGCGCAACACTTGACTTGCCTCTTCTAACCTCTTCAACTTTTATTTTTTCTAAGTGTTTTTTTAAGAATTTTTGTGTAACTTTTTTTTTTAATTTTTTTTTAAAACTTTGATTTTCTTAAATTTTTATTTACGGATGTGATATAATTTATTTTTATAATTTCTACGATTTTTTTTAACTTGATTTTTTTAATTTTTTTTACCATTTTATTAATAATATTTTCAATTTTAGTTACATCTTTTTTAACGTGTAACTTTTTACGAACTTTGTAGACAACGTTTACAATATTGTTTTAATATTATTATTATTTTCTTTTTTAATATTTTTTAAAATTAGTTTTTTTTAGAATAAAACTATTAGCTTCTTTTACATCTTTTTAAGTTTTTTTTTCTATAAAAAAGTTTTATATTTTTGTTTTTTTTACATGTTCTTGTTATTATTATTTCAATGTTTTAATAGTAGAATTATTAAATTTAAGTGTTAAGAACTATTTTCAGTTTATAAAATTAGTTTATTTAAATTTTAGTTTACTGCAGCAACAGTCAACAGATGTTAAAAAACAAACATGTTTCTTATTATAGGCTGCAGCTGTTTGTTCCACCTCTTCTGCTACAGAGGATTGTATAGGTGGTCTGCACACTTCATGAATTTTCGCTTTGATATTGGATCCCGGGATTTTGTGACGCTCGGGATTTTGTGAGGCTCGGGACGGTAGCCTAGATTGCCCCTGCTCAGGACCGGCCCTGATTCACACCCGTTCCCGAGTTGTAGCAAAGAAAAAAAGAAAAGCGAAAAGAAAGTAAGAACAGAAAAGAAAGAAATTTTTTTTTTCTGTTTTCAAGTGGGAGAGAAATGAAAGGAAAATTAAATATTTTGTTATACTTTCCAAATCCTCGCAAATTGAAAGGAAAGTGATCCTTCCATTCCCTTCCTTTAATAAAATTCAGAGCACCAGTCTATTACTTTCCTCTCATTTCCTTTCTTTTATCTCCTAAAATTTTACTTGAGGAACCAAGGAAAGGAAAAGAAAGATTAACACTCAAACACAGTGATAACAATCTAGGGGGTGTTTGGCTTAGCTTTTCACAGCCAAAAGGCCTTTTTGAAAAAGAAAAAAAAAACAAAAGATGTTTGACAAACTAATTTTTAAAGCTACTTTTGATGTTTTTACATAAGGAAAAGGAACTTTTTGGAAAAGTTAAGAAATCTTACTTTTTGTAACTTTTCCAAAAAAAAAACTTTTGGGGTTTGAAAAGCTAAGCCAAACACCTACAGCATTTTATTTCGGACTACATCTTCATTCCTGGCGAAGAACCATTTTGTTCTTGTTCTTTTGTATTCCTGCAAACATGAAGAACAACATCACATTTTTTACGTTGCTTCGTCTTCTTTCCCTATCAACTGGATTCCTGTTAAAACAAACAAACAAACACCCCGAGATCATATTGATGATCTGTTTTCTTTCCTGCAATCGAGACCATCCCAGAAACCCCAATCAATTTTGCAAAAAGAATAAAAAAAATACTAAGAAGAAGAAGAACAAGGAGCTGCCGGAGCAGCCCCATCCACTCACCTCCACAGCCGCTGCTAATGAGAGTTCCGACCACCATAGCCCCACACTCATACTCTCTCTTCTGTTCCTTGCAAACAACGACCTCCGAAGGTATCATCTTCACTGACGCCGCTGCTCGCGACACCTCCTCGGAAGTCGGACCGATTGACCTCCGCCTCCTCGGACGTTATCTTTCCTCGCATCTAGTAGCCAGAAGGGAAAGAGAGAGAGAGAGAGAGAGAGAGAGAGAGAGAGAGAGCCCTCTGCTTTCGTCTCGTCTACTCCTTCGGTTCGACCGAACACCGGAAACGCAACCTCAGCCTGCAACCCATCGAAATCCATTGGACCTCGCAGCCATCTTCATGCCTCCTTCTCGCCTGCCGACGCGCTCTACCTTCTTCATGATCGGTCATCGACCGGTGGCAAATGCTTGATTCCCTTCTCGTTCATCTGTTTCCCTCGTGACTTCCTTGGACGATTCGTATCCCCTTTGCTTCAGTTCCCCGATCAGACCAAAAGAAACGGGGTAATGCCCTAATTCTTTTTAAGTGAAGCATTAAACACGGGATGTAAAACCCTAAGGCATTTTAATTATGAAATGACTATAATGCCTCTACTATTAAATTCTTTATTTAAAATAGCTCCGAATCCCCAAAAAATATGTCATTTATCCACAAACAGCCCCTCATTTGGTTACTTTTAACAAAATAAATCTCAATCTTCAAACTTTGAATAAAAATAACCATTTTAGCCGACTCTTTGAATTATTTTTACCAAATCAGTCTCACTTGGTTAATTAAATTACCAAACAACCCTATACTATAGCGAAGTTACAATTCAATCCCTAATGGTTCAAACTTGTTACAAAATGGTACCAAGAGTATTTCAAAGTTCAAGAATTGTGGAATTACGGTTTCTTACATCAAGGATCTCAAAAAAATCGAATTCGAATGATTGGAACTCACGCTTCAAGGTGAGTGCTTACGTCCTCTTTCTAATATTTTAATCATTTTACGTGTGTGGTGGGGGGAGGGGGAGAAATACATGTGCCTAAATATTTTGTTTACGCAAAATATTTTCCTTTTTATGCGAAAACACAATCGATCTACTTATAAAGATATTATTAATCAACAATTTTGCATATTGTTACTAATAAACTAATATAAATTTTTCGTATACGTATTATGGTTATTTTATCGTGAAATAACTAGTTCACACAACAAGTACTACATGATATAAAATATATGATTTTTATGTGATATTGTATATTATAACAAGCATGTTATAAAATTTTATAGTATTTCAAGAATTCAAACTATTACTATGCATGTTTGTATATATTTTTAAGTACAGAACATTTATACATGTGCATATGTTCATTAATTTGAAATTTCATTTTTATAAAAGAGAGCACATTACACTTTTACACATGTCAAACATACTCGGCTTTTATTAACTTTATACAACGATATTCATTATGCCTAGTGAGTTAATCACAATTAAGTTAGGGTTGAGAACTATTCACAAACTTTTTAGTTAAGGGATTTTTAGGGAGACGCTATTCATTAGTTGCGTTTTAACACTTAGCATACCCACACTATTATAACCGTTAATCTTCGGAGCGAGATACATATGTATAGTTTGTTTTTCAAGTATGGAATTACTTTTGTATCAATATAGTTTGTTTTTCAAGTATATTCAAAGATTCTTTAGAGATATGGTTTTTAAGTATGCATTTACTTATACAAAGATACATTTTGGCTATTAAAGACTCATGGAAAACACTGTTTCAATTATTGTTATTCATAAAAAGATAAAACTTTTTAGACATTTTAAAAGTGTTACTGCTATTAACAAAAAACCTGTAACTCTCACTAACTTTGTGTTGACCCTCAAAACTCGACGAGTCACTTTGTGACACGGTGAGTAGACAAGTACTTCAAGGAACTCGTCGAGTAGTTGAGGGTACTCGGCGAGTTAAGGTCAACATGCAGTGTTGACCTTGATTGATGAATTTGATTTTTGACCAGGGATTTGATTAGTTGACTGTTGGGGGTACCATGTAAGGTTAGGAATTTATGGGTATAATTATATTATGGTAATAGGTGATGGAGCTTTTGACAGTGATCCGAGAGTTGGAATTCATCTACCGAGTCAACATCTGCAACGTGAGTTATCCTCACTATATCAATAGGGTCTACGGCACCAAGGCCATCCCTTAAGTTGTTATTGTTATGATGTGCTACAACATGTGGTTATGATCTGTTAGATCGAAATCATGATAGACAATATATTATGCTCTTATGATCCGTACGGATTGGTATGTTAGTGACCTAATAGGTCAGTACTCTAGTTACAAGGGATTTCTATGATCGATGATTAGTGAGATAGATATGTTTGATTTTTTATATGCGTGTATATGATAGTTATGCGCACTCGGTTATTTGCTTGATGGTTTGGTTGAGGCGGTCCTGCTTTGTGCTGAAGGTCAACATACCCTATGAGCGGTCCAGGGACACTAAAGGCCCACGTGGCGGTCCAGTTACACCGAAGGCTCGTGACAGATTCAGTTAGACTGTACGCCCTGTCGGGCGGTCCAGTCAGGTCGATGGCCCAGTATGCATGTTGTTAATTGTCTGTTGTTGATACGGTATTATCAGTGTGGTATTGGTATTTTGGGGGTAGCTCATTATGTTCTCGGGCTTACAGTTTCCGGTTTATTGTTTCAGATACTTCAGGAGATCATGGCAAGGCGAAGGCATGATCGTACCGCTCCTCATCCATTTGATCTTGTTTTTGGGACACTCTGATGAATAATGATTTAAAAGCATTTTGTAAACAAATAATAATTGGTTTTATTTATGATTGAAAAAATTTAAATTTGGTGTAAAATTTTTGGATGTTACACTATTATCTACAACAGATATAACAGATTCACTTCCAGATATTTGCAATCAATGCAGAGGTTCCTAGGATCCAAAATCAACATGAGTACTGCATATCATCCACAGACAGATGGACATAGCGAAAGAACGATACAAACTCTAAAAGACATGCTCCACGCTTGTGGGATGGACTTCGGTAATGCATAAGATACTTACTTACTACTAGTCGAGTTTTCATATAACAATAATTATCACACTAACATAAACACCACTCCATTCAAGGCCTTATACGAACATAGGTGTCATTTATCTGATATGCTAAGCAGAAATTGGAGATACCCAACTAGCAAAAAAGGCATGCTAGAGATACTCTGCTCACTAGTACAACTATCATTCATGAAACAACGAAAAATATTGTTCAAGTAAAGGAATGATTAAGGGCCGTTCGTAGTAGTCAGAAAAGCTATGTTGACACAAGACATAAACCCTTAGAATTCAAAGTAAAAGATCGTGTCGTACTAAAGGTAGTACCATGGATAAGTATCATTAGATTTGGAAAATGAGGTACACTAAATCCCTTTCACATCGGACCTTTTGAAATCCTGCCAATGGTTGATCTGGTGCCTTACAAACTCAATTTACCCCAAGAACTGAATAAAGTTCACAATACCTTCCACGTGTGAAATCTTAAGATGTGTCTCTCTATTAAGAGCCTTGTATTTCCTTTGGATGAGATCTAGGTCAATGTTAAACCTCACTTTGTGAAGGAACCGGTGGAGATCAAGGATTGAGAAATCAAAAGCCTCAAACAAAGCCGCATTCCTATAGTAAACATCTGATGAAAATGTTGTAGAGAGTCGTAGTTTACTTCGAAACGTGAGGATCAAATGAAACAAAAGTATTCGTAATATTTCAGCATTTGCTCCCTCCACTACTGGAACGGAATACTAGTAGAACAAAATGATAGAGAAACAAAATATTCTAGAACATAATAATTTTGGGACATAATTCCATTAACGAGGAGGTAATGTGACATCTCGGAATTTAGGTTATAGACTGTGAACAGTTAAGTTCATAGTAAATCTTTTGATAGCTTAACTTTTTAGTTTTAGATCCTCTTATGTGAAATAAACGAGTTCATGTCAACTATTATAATATGTCAGATGATATCTTACTTCCAAATATGTAATCTGACAAATAAATCAAACAGCTCAAACTGCAACCATAGGAATGCGTCTGAAAAACTAAAATTGTGTGTTAAGCAGTTGTGAGCAATATAAACACTCTAATCTCATCGTATGTGTTTCCCTGATTCCAAAAATATAAAAATCGTCCAAAACGGAGTTCTTATGCAAAAGATACGACCGTTTTAAGAATCCAAAACCAGTATAATACTGATTTTCTTAAAACCACTAAATATGTTTGTAACCGTTAAGGGACTTGCACACTTCGAAGGGGAATTCTGAAAGCATTTTTGAACTCAGGCTATAGCCTAATATTAAATTTCATATTTGAAATATTTTGTTAAAAATATTTATAAAAAGTGAAAAATCAGACATTTTAAGATTTATTAATCGTGAAACCTTAAACTATTGATTTCGACATGATTTCAATTATTGACAGTATATTCTTGAAATAATATATTGTTATCCAATGTAGTTATGCTGAATCTTAACGAAGAGATAACCCAAAAGTTTTAGAATTATGTACATCTACATACGTATATGTGTGGAGAACGTATTTTTAAAAAATCTATTTTTGATTTGTTATAATTTTTATAAACTCATATTGTGTATAACAAATAATCAATCGTGTAAGCACAATGTATATATGTTATATAATTTTATATAACAACACTAAAGATATAAATATTTATATGTCATATATCATTTTCCATACAACAATTCCTAAAATATACGACAAATTGGACACTGATTTTGTAAAAATCTCGAATCCTTGGTACATTTATTAAACCCTTATTAGGAGAGTGCATAGATATTGTGTATACATATAATATTATTAAACAAAATAAAAAGAATATACATTAAATCTATTAGAAACACATAACAATCAATAAATTTATATACAAATACATACTTAATTTAATCAATACACACATTTCATACATATTGAAACAAATACATAATATAAATTCATACACAAATACATCTATTTAATCTACCAAATAGAAATAATTAAACAACTAAATAAATACAAATAACTAAATAAAGACATCCATATTTTCTTCCAAGTTACATCCCAAAAACAACCAAACCACATGCAAACACTTCTTCTATTTGTCCTTCCCACCAACTGAGCATTCACACCCGGCCGGTCCTAGCCAATTGAAGGCCCGGGGCAAATATAAAAAAAATGGGCCCTTTCGGATTACTATAATTTAAAATTCTCAATTATAAAATATATGGAATGTTAGAAAAGAAAAGAAACACCTAAAAGTTTAAACGAAATTATAAACTACAAAATTACAAAATTAATATTTGTCTTACAAAGTCTTTGTCTGCTCTAAAAACCACAACCAATGTTAGAGTAATTATTTTTTTTTTTTTTTTTGATTGTTTTAAACCCTAAAAAAACATTACAAAACATAAAAAAAAAAAATAATAATAATAATAAAAAAAAAATAAAAAAAGACTAAAAATAGGAAGCTCAATAAGGCTAAGACGTTATGAAGAATTCAATATTCAATTATCCTCCACTTAAATAGTTAAACACGACAATTGTTTATTTTCATCATTTTTTATTGGGCAAAACACATAGAAAACAAATCAACCATTTGATGATTTTATATTTAAGTATTCCAGAATCATTACATGTAAACATGAATTACACTATAATAAGTGGAAAATGCATTCCAATTGAAATCGATCGACTAGTATGTAGTGTCTAATGGAATAGATTATTTTATATACTTAAATCAAATATCTAAGCATCATAGATGAGACAATTTCAAAGACTACGCAATCATATGATGATGCGATGAGAACTGAGACAACCAATTTTGTTCTTGTCCTTCTGTATTCCTTCAACTCATGAACGGGTGTGAATCAGGGCCGATCTTGGGCAGGATTTTTTAAGGCCCCAGACCGTAGCCCTGATTTTTATCTCCTTAAGTTTTACTCGAGGAACCAAGGAAAGGATAAGAAAGATGAACACTCAAACACAGGGATAACAATCTAATACCCAAACACCTACAACACTTTCTTTTCGGACTACATCTTCATTCCCAGCGAAGAACCATTTTGTTCTTGTTCTTTTGTATTCCTGCAAACATGAAGAACAACATCACATTTTTTTCCTTGCTTCGTTTTCTTTCCCTATCAACAGAAACAACCAATCGTTAAAAAAAGAAAAAAAAAAAAAAAAAACAATTCATTATGTTCTTCTTCTACCCTTTCCGTAGACAACAAACAGCCAAACACCCTTTTCCATAACTGATAATCTTCTTCTTTTCTTATCAAACATCAACAACCAACCAACCATTTTATTCATTCGATAGATTCATGTTAAAACAAACAAACAAACACCTCGAGATCATATTGATGATCTGTTTTCTTTTCTGCAATCGAGACCATCCCAGAAACCCCAATCAATTTTGAAAAAAGAATAAAAAAAAAAATACTAAGAAGAAGAAGAACAGGGAGCTGCCGGAGCAGCCCCATCCACTCACCTCCACAGCCGCTGCTAATGAGAGTTCCGACCACCATAGCCCCACACTCATACTCTCTCTTCTGTTCCTTGCAATCAACGACCTCCGAAGGTATCATCTTCACTGACACCGCTGCTCGCGACACCTCCTCGGAAGTCGGACCGATCGACCTTCGTCTCCTCGGACGTTATCTTTCCTCGCATCTAGTAGCCGGAAGGGAGAGAGAGAGAGAGAGAGAGAGAGAGAGAGAGCCCTCTGCTTTCGTCTCGTCTACTCCTTCGGTTCGACCGAACACCGGAAACGCAACCTCAGCCTGCAACCCATCGAAATCCATTGGACCTCGCAGCCATCTTCATGCCTCCTTCTCGCCTGCCGACGCGCTCTACCTTCTTCATGATCGGTCATCGACCGGTGGCAAATGCTTGATTCCCCTCCCGTTCATCTGTTTCCCTCGTGACTTCCTTGGACGATTCGTATCCCCTTTGCTTTAGTTCCCCGATCAGACCAAAAGAAACGGGATAATGCCCTAATTCTTTTTAAGTGAAGCAGTAAACACGGGATGTAAAACCCTAAGGCATTTTAATTATGAAATGACTATAATGCCTCTACTATTAAATTCTTTATTTAAAATAGCTCCGAATCCCTAAAAAATATGCCATTTATCCACAAACAGCCCCTCATTTGGTTACTTTTAACAAAATAAATCTCAATCTTCAAACTTTGAATAAAAATAACCATTTTAGCCCACTCTTTGAAATTATTTTTACCAAATCAGTCTCACTTGGTTAATTAAATTACCAAACAACCCTATACTATAGCGAAGTTACAATTCAATCCCTAATGGTTCAAACTTGTTACAAAATGGTACCAAGAGTATTTCAAAGTTCAAGAATTGTGGAATTACGGTTTCTTACATCAAGGATCTCAAAAAAAAATCGAATTCGAATGATTGGAACTCACTCTTCAAGGTGAGTGCTTACGTCCTCTTTCTAATATTTTAATCATTTTACGCGTGTGGTGGGGGGGGGGGGGGGGGAATACATGTGCCTAAATATTTTGTTTACGCAAAAGATTTTCCTTTTTATGCGAAAGCACAATCAATCTACTTATAAAGATATTATTAATCAACAATTTTTCATATTGTTACTAATAAACTAATATAAATTTTTCGTATACGTATTATGGTTATTTCATCGTGAAATAACTAGTTCACACAACAAGTACTACATGATATAAAATATATGATTTTTATGTGACATTGTATATTATAACAAGCATGTTATAAAATTTTATAGTATTTCAAGGATTCAAACTATTACTATGCATGTTTGTATATATTTTTAAGTACAGAACATTTATACATGTGCATATGTTCATTAATTTGAAAATTCATTTTTATAAAAGAGAGCACATTACACTTTTACACATGTCAAACATACTCGGCTTTTATTAACTTTATACAATGATATTCATTATGCCTAGTGAGTTAATCACAATTAAGTTAGGGTTGAGAACTATTCACAAACTTTTTAGTTAAGGGATTTTTAGGGAGGTGCTATTCATTATTTGAGTTTTAACACTTAGCATACCCACACTATTATAACCGTTAATCTTTGGAGCGAAATACATATGTATAGTTTGTTTTTCAAGTACGGAATTACTTTTGTATCAATATTGTTTGTTTTTCAAGTATATTCAAAGATTCTTTAGAGATATGGTTTTTAAGTATGCATTTTACTTATACAAAGATACATTTTGGCTTTTAAAGACTCATGGAAAACACTGTTTCAATTATTGTTATTCATACAAAGATAAAACTTTTTAGACTTTTTAAAAGTGTTACTGCTATTAGCAGAAAACCTGTAACTCTCACTAACTTTGTTTTAATCCTCAAAACTACGGGTGCAAACGAGCCAAGCTACTCGAGATCGGATCGTTAAAAGCTCAACTCGAAATCAATTTTAAACAAGCCCAAGCCGAGCTCGAGCTTAATATTAAGTTCGCTTATTAAACAAGCTCGAGCTCAAGCCTATGTCATTAAGCTTGATTAGGCTCGCGAGCCTAAACGAGACTTTATATAATTTAATTTAATATTATATATATATATATATATATATATATATATATATATATATATATTAAAATAAAAACATATTAGGGAGTTATGGATTTAGGGTATTTGTAAACGAGCTTCTTAAAGAGCTCGAGCTGAGCTTAAGCTTATTTAGACACGTCAGATAAGAAACGAGTCAAGCTCAAGCTCGAGCCGAGCTTGTATAATTCTTTACGAGCTCGAGCTGAGCTCAGTACAAGGAAGCCTGAATCGAGCCGAACTCGAGCTCGAGCGTCATATAACTTAAACGAGCCCGAGCCAAGCCTATCCAGGCTCGGGCTCGGCTCGACTCGTTTGCACCCCTACTCAAAACTACATGTATTCTTAGGAAACTTCTAAACAAACATTTAAGACGGATTGGATTACAGGTGACCTAATTTACTTGTTGTTTTATTATATGCGTATCTATTAAGGCAACTCATGTGTTATTATTATTTGTAAAAACCTTGTATTCAAATATCAAGACGGAACACGAATGTTATATTGTTGATTGTTGTACTTGTGCTATATATTCAGTTTACCTATGATCCATGTACTAAGTCACACGACCCGACATGTTCTGGCGCCTATGTCATCTTAATAAGCTTAGATCTGACTTTTGGACATAAAGGAATCGATTATTAAGCACTTAATGGAGAAAGTACTTAATCTGTTAGTAAGTTGGGTGTAACATAGCATACGTTGCATGTAAGTTCCAGAGCCTCAGTACGCTGCATGTACCAGGGTGGTATGCTAAGCATACGCACTACATATGGGCTTGGATCTATTTTGGGCCTTTGAACTGTTGGTCCTCATTTGGTTATTGGACTTGTTTGCACTCTGGGAATAGTGGGCCGTTTTACTTGTTTTGTCACATGGATGTTATGATTGGGCCTTATTGGGTCATGATACCCATTAATAGTTTTGGACATGGACTTTGGGCCCATTAACAAAGAAAGAATATTTCGGCCTTTATGGAAGGACTCGGGTTTTGGGTTTCCCTTTGATTATGTGATGTTCTAACATTGCTTAATATTATTATTCAGCACGGGAGGTTATAGACAGTTAGGAGGGAAGTTTCAGATTCTTCAGATAGAGGTAATTCTTCTTACAATACCAATGAGTCTAAGGCACAAAGGTCGGCCTAGTTTATGTGGTTACGTATGTTATTATACGGAAAACCCTGGGGGTAGCCCGTGAAGATTGGATATAAGACCATGTGGTGTAACCCCATGGCATTCCCAGGTTAAGACCATGTGGGGTAGCCCATGGCACAGTGGTGTAAGACCTTGGGGGAGCCTATGAAATCCTTACAAGTTGATGTATGCATGGATTATGTGATATATGTAGCTTTTATAGCTAAGAGGATATGTGTTATGTGGATTGTGTATGGTATGCTCTGGGGAACTTACTAAGCATTTAGCTTACAGGTTGTGGATTTGTTTCGGGTACTTTAGGTCACAAGGGAAAAGGCAAGGCGTGATGGCGCAACATGCACTCTCTCCCAGACGTTTTTATGGACACTTGGATGTTTGAAATAAAAGTTGTAATTGACATGTTTTTGAAAACAATTATGATTGGATTTCTTAAATTATGGAAATGTGGTTGATTATTCAAAAATGAAAATTTTCTATAAAAAATTTAGGTTGTTACGGTAATGCTTTGGATCTAAGTTTTCTCAAGTTATACATGTAAACATATTTTTATCTAAAGCATGAACCCTAACTAGCATACAATTTTGAGATTTACAACATAAAACAAGTTAGATGAATACCTCTTTTTTGTAGCTTGTAGAACTTGGCCTTTCAAGAGCTTAGTACCTCAAATGTGATATCTTAAATAAGTCATAAACACCAAGAACAATGGAGGATTATGAGAGAGAGGCTAGGAGGCACCAAAAATCGGCTAGGGTTTCTTCTTGGAAGTCTTGGCCGAGTTTGGGAATGCTAGGGGTTGCATTTATAGTGTGGAATTCCAAGGGTTTTAACTTGTAAACCCTAATTCGTTTACTTAGGCCTTTAAGCAATCCGATAAGTCATTTGATAGGCCCTTTGGACTAATTCTTTATGGACTCTCACATAGATTTAGTCCATCCCTAATCAAAATGGATCATTAGCCCAAACTTTATATATTACCTATTTACCTAATCAGTCCCCATTAATTTAATCAGTCTTTTTTGATCACTAAATTAATTCCTGATCAATACCAATTAAATAATATGATTTCTCAATTAATATATTATTTTTATAATATAAATAACCTCTTTCTCAAATATCCATCCTATCAAAATGCTCCGGTGAAGGCAACCCAAAAGGACCATGCTACTATCGGGTCAAGTACATACCAATTATAGTTATCGGCTTAGACACCGTAATCCAACAAACAATCCCATGCAAATTCATAAGCACTAGTTTTGATAATCCATTCATAAATAAATAAATAAAAAACATCACTTTCTTAGTCATGATAAATCAGAGATAACAAAAGTTATCGTTCCTAATTCACCTCCCGTGATTACCTAAAGCAATCAACTAGCACATGACCTAACTAAATTTAAAGAAAGTAGACCCTTAATCTCATCTTAAGGCAACCATACCACAAGAATCCATTTGGGCATTCCTACACCGCTATACTTTCCGCCAAAAACAACAACCATCTAGCCATATGTTGGGTTTACATCCCAACTATGAAATTCTCATGTCTACTCTCACTATTTATGTTAAACATGAAAAACTGGAAGAAAATAACCCCATCGTAGATAGTGAAATCCAAATCTATCTACCAACCACTCAGCATCCGACTACAATCCTAGAGATGA